ACAGATGAAATGGCTAATAATTGGGATGAAGCACCTAGAGGTACCTTGAAAGTAGATATGTAATACTAGCACAACTCAAAAGTGTAAGAAAGACTCATCTACTATGTAGTGGGCCAGTTTTACTAAGAAACAGTAAACCAGTGTTTATCAGTGGAGCATTTGAGCACGTCTTCTACTAAGATATCTTTGGACAATTAAATGAACTACAGGCATTCCTCCCCTTCCCTTCATACAACTGAGCAAAAGCCAGGTAAAATCTGTAAACTGATGTGCTCCTCCAGCTGTAAGTTATATGAAAACTTAAAGCTAAGGAAAGCAAATAAAACTGTAGCAATCCAAAAAGACAGTTCTTATTTTGCTGGTACAGATGGAAGAATATAATGGGTATGTTTCAGCCTTGTAACAAAATAAGTAGCTTAAGACAAAAAAGTGTACTTTTCTAAATTATAATGGAAACCAGCAAGCGACTGAAAAACATGGTGGGTTTGAGGTTTGTAAAAATATTTTTTTACTCCTTAGCATAAAAGAATGAGGGGTCTTTCTCTCTTTCATTGAAAATTAAAGGGCAAGTTGATTTCAAAATATGATCATTATCAACTTCTGCTTCCTATTATTCTCTATAAATAAATACTTTCAGGTCTGCATTTAACATGCTTCCACAGCATGGATATAAATATAGATAAAATACAGGTATATATTTTGTATATAGATAAAATATAACGATGGGGACTATAAAATTTACTAATTGTATTGTTCTTGAATTGTGTGTGAATTTTTAATGGAACAAGACAGTACTACCTGATAGAGACATGGGAGCTTTCTTCTACCTTCCATGAAACTGTTAGGACCCGTAAATGAGATACAGTATCACAATATGTTTCTTGCACACTCTGCTCTCTTCTGAAACACTTAATATAAATGCCATAATAACTGTGATTCTATTATAGAAAGGCTACAATTATAGAATCAATATCATAATAGAAAAGTTATTATAATAGCTCCCTAGCTAGGATACTATAATGGAATCAAGCTCATAAGAGGGCTGAGAGGCCTGCTTAACACTGTAATAGATAAATTACTGCCAAAGACTATCCGTGATAATGTATTGGCCAGAACTGTAGCTGAATATACTTCTGAGCTGTTTGCCTCCTGTTGCTAGTATTAAAATCTTTGATTTGTCCTGCACCCAAACCGAGTTTACCTTCCTTCCTCCTCCCAGTTCCAATAGTTACTTTGCCAGTAGGAAGTGCAACAGAAAACCGGCTGATCCCCTTTCTCTGTTTCTGAACACCTTAACTTCAGAATGTCCTCTGATAAAAAAATGTCCAATATAGATGACTATCAGTGTTGTACCTCAGATATGATAGAAAATGGGTGGAAGAGGGAGACATTTCTAAAATAGTAGCATATTTGCAGGGACTAATACATTAGAACCAAGCAGAGGCAACTATACCGGATATGTACTTAGGTTAAATCTTGTATGAAAAGAACATTATACTCCTGTATGTGTAAGTGGCAACATGGTAAATAGCATTTCAGGGTTTAAGTGTGAGGAGTAATAGTAATTTGTACTACACAAGTCAGTGACAGAACACTAGTGAAAGCAGACAGAAACAGAGAACTCGACTTTAAAGAGCGGACTGTCAAATTGGGGTAATTAAAACATATTCACAAGCACATACAGTATTTGTGGCATAGATAACTATTATAAATGACAAATGCATATTATATAAATCTAGATGCTATTATTTTTTCTCCATTTGACCTTAGTTACAACACATGCTCAGTGAGGCTCAGTAACTTCTAGGATTTCTGTGTGGGTTTACACAGGAATCTCTTCAGTAATAACATAATCTGGTATAGATTTTTTTTTTCTTTAATAAAATCTTGAGCTTACTCCAAACCAAGGTCAAAAGAGTTCTGATATAAAAGTATGTGGACTTTGAAGTTCATTATTTTATACCTTATCAGGATTACAGGTAAAGCTCTATGATTTTGGAAAATAGAAATTCAATTTTCTCCTCCACAGGACAAGGAACTTGGCTGAAATAGGATGAAAAGACTTCAATTATCATATTTAGTAATTAGAACATTATTGGAAGTTGACAAGGATGTTATTTTGTATCGGAGTCTTATAAGTTCCTTCAGTTTTCCTTTGAATTATGCATAGATGGACTGCTAGTACCCTCAAGCTGGTCAGCTGAACATTTGGGAAAAGTCAAAGGTAGCAATTTCAGTGGCAATAATTGCAATGAAATACTAGAATATATAGAAAGAGCAGTGATCTACACTAGCTGTGGGGAAATCCTGTCAGGGGAACGTTGATGGAGAGGAATGTATTAGTTTTGTCACTGTTAGGGTTACAGCAACAGTGTCAGAAGACATACTTCTTCTCCAGTGCTCTCCATGCATTGACTTTACAATGGAAATCGGATTTTCTAAAAAGATTTGTGCCCACAGGAACACTAAAACATCATTCACAGATCAGGCTTGTAGAGTTAATTTGCACAGCCTGGACTGTTGGACATTTGAAGAAAAATCCAGATATATACCACTGCCCAATCATCATTGTTCTTAAAAACTTTGGATGTTTTCCAGTATTCTATGGAAGCCAATGAAATGAGTTAAAATATTTTGTCAAAGTAGACAAATCCATGCTTAAAAAAAAAAAAAAACACCACCGAAACACACAAGAAAAACACAAGAAACTATGAGTGTACAATAATACTTTAATAAAATTTCTGATGGCTTTTCATATTCATATGGGACTAATGTAAAAGTTTGTTAAAATATAAAAATACGTATTAAGGATATCAAAAAGTTTGCAGCACATAAAAATGAGAAGTAGCTATACTTGCTCTCAAAAGAAGTGAAATGGAAAGAAAGCAAAAATGTGAAGATTTTTATGTTTTCTTTTTAAAAAGAAGAGGAAATAAAGGGAAAGAAAAAGGAAAATGGAAAAATCGAAACTTTCTGATCATAATCTTGCATAGTCTCCTTGTCAAAATAAACAAATAAGAATAGTCAAGGAAATCAGGAGGAAAGTGAGGTAAATGTATGTAAACCAGTTTCTATAGATAGAATCCATTTCTAGCTTAATCTGACAGGCTACCTTTGTATGAACGCACCTGAATGTCCAAATCGTGCTCTGAATTCCTTAATTCTACATTCTATATAGTAGACGTCTGCTGTACACATCCTGATCGACAAGTATACTATATGTTCCTAATGGTGCATAACCTTCAGGCCCATTTTGTGATGGGACAATCAAACAATTACAATGTCTTATGGAAATACAACTTCAGATTGCTTTCTAAGTAAATGACAGCATTCAAAATATAGCATTTATGCTTTTCCACTGAGAATAACAGAAGCAGCAAGAAAATCTGTGAAAATATTCCAAAAATGAAACAGATATTCCTATACAACTTCTACCATTAATATCATGTATTTACTTTCTTAATAAAGCAGTTCTGTAATCTGTAATTAGTGCACACAAAGGTATTTGTTACAGTAACCTGAATATTTCCACACAATTAGAAAACATGGTTTAACTACCCATTATGTTGGCGTATTGTGAATCTGTTGAATACTACATTTACAGCAGTTTAATACTAAATAAACAGATGGCATGAGACTGAGGTAGAGTTTTCATATGAAACTAATTCTGCTTTTATTTATACCATCATAAATCTAGGTAACATTAGTATAAGAATTTGATCTTGAAAGGTGCTGAGTAAACCTGTAAAGAAGTAAACAGTCTCAAGAATTATTTTATTTCAGCAAGAATCCTATAGATTCTAGACATCCTGTACCAATAATATTATGTTTTCAGAGGATCTCGGTTACTATTTATGAATCTTGCCAGCAGGGTTTAACTTTTCTATTGAGAGTATTGGACACCACTAGCTTCTTGAAGGATGACTACAGAAATGTTGACTTTCTGAAATTTTAATCACTTACTTAAATATCTAAATAAATACCAAAGTCTTCTGAAAATCTGGCTTCCTGTGAAAAAAGTACTTGAGACCAGTATTTCTAACCATGTACTGAAAATGATTTCACAACTTTCTCAGCAGAGGCAATTCTGATACTGCAGTACTCATTTACTTGTTATTATACTAGATTTTATTCAGCAGAACATAAATTAAAACTAATAAAAATGACAAACTAAATTTTGACCATTAACTAAAATAGTAAGAATAAACATTAGAGCTCACTCTTTTCTCATGAATGATGAATTTAATGCAACCATCTTCCCTAAAGGAGAAAAGCCCTGCTGTCTCAACATACCAAGAAAATTGCCTTTTAATGGTTATTCTGGAGTCCAAAGTATGTCATTATATTGAACTGCAGGAGGAAAAATGTGTTTATATTTAATTTATAAATCAACAAGCGCCTTTAATTGAGATTATCACTTGGACTAGATTTGCTCAAGAACACCGCACAATTTGTTATTTTAAATTATTTTAGCAGTGAGTGTTTAAAATTAACCCCCCAAAATTTCTATGAAAAAGGTCACAATACAGCTTGCGTTTTAAGTGTATTTCCTTTAAAAGCATCAACAGAAAATAATCACACACAATTTATGGATTCCGAGATAACTATAAATTGTTTTCTGAGAATGAAAAAATAACTTAGAGAATGCCATGACTGATCAAATTAGAGAGAACAATGTGTAGAAAAGCAATCGATCTTTGTGATGGCAGCTTAATGGGCATATGCCTCTCATTTTGTAAATAATCTTACTCTGTTAACAAACTGATTTTAAAGTATCCATTTTGATTAATTAATAAACACTCCTAGTAGATGTATAAACAAAGTTTACTTCACGTTACTTGCAGCCTAAGGCATAATTGGCTGGTCACTTTAAAAGCTTTGCTTGAGAAAGTGAAGGACTAATAATGCTGTAGGAAGAGTGAAATGAGTTCAGGCAATTGACAGAAATGCTTTCTAAAGTTAATTATGTTTGCTTTCCCCTCTCCCTTGGTGTTCATTACCTTTAAACGGAGCCACACATTGGCAGAAGTAATTACCAGGTTGGTCAATGCAGGTGGCTCCATTCTTGCAGGGAAATGAAGCGCACTCATCTATATCTGTTTCACATCTTGCACCTTTGAAAAGACGAAAGATTTGAACATTTAGTAAGACAATCAGGTGCCAATTTCTAATTCATTTGCACCACAAGAATCTCAAACAACTTGTGAGGAGAAACTATCATAAATCAGCCAAATAAAGAGCCACGCGTACTGATGTCAGCATCCATTTAATTCGTATCACCACAAATACGTAACAACTTATTTCTGAGTTGCTAAATGGTAACTAAGCTTCCCCGTGTGTGGAAGCTTTGAGGGCCTTTTTAAATGCAGACTAATTTATCTTGTGCTATTTAGTTTACAGATGGAGTCAGTGTTCCAGTTTGTTGGAATGCAAATGAAACATTAGACCAGGGCAGATAAAGAGAAATGAGAAGGAGACACAAGCAAATTAGTCAATGATGTCTTAATGGATGCTTTGTGGACTACCTCACTGTGGAAAACAAGGTTTACTATGAATACAACTCACCAGTAAAGCCAGGTAGACAGACACATTCGTAGCCACCAATAAGATCTGCACATGATGCATTATGAAGACATGGAGAAGAGTGACATTCATTTATATTTGCTTCACAAGTTGTGCCTATAAATATACAATCAGGCAAAGGGGAGAGAAGTTACTGCATAGCACATATAGTTAAATACCAACATTTATTTTAATTGAATATAGCTCACATACTGGAATCTATTTGACACCCATTTTATATTCAAATTTGGGCATCTATGATGGTATATTAATATTTTTAATGTTTAAGTTATTCACTAATTTTGCCAAAAGATTAAAAGTACAGTCATTCAATAGATTCCTAAGGCTTAAAGCAGACAATTTCCTTATTATATGAATATAGAAGAATAGAAAACGAATTACATTAAATATAATAGACTGCATTGCACTGACATAAGAGGAAATATTCCTTGTGTTCATGATAACGCAACAGATGTACTCCCGGAAAATTGAAAAAGAAATCTGATGTAGACAAGAACACAATTTATTCCAGTCTAGACTATAGCTAACATAACCACATAGTTACTTGAGGTAGAAAAATACTCTATTGCTAATATTTCTGAGTGAAGTTAATTTTTTGTTATTTGAAGAATAAAAGAAAAATGACATAATTGTGAGGTTTGAGAAGTTCAAAGAATTTTAATAAATAAAAATGCAAGTGATAGTTTTTCTGAACATAACTAGCAGTAGAAATGTAATATTTTGCCCTGTGACATTAGAATTATAGATTGCTTTGTATTTCAATGATTAAAAATATTTCTGAGTGAAGTTAATTTTTTGTTATTTGAAGAATAAAAGAAAAATGACATAATTGTGAGGTTTGGGAAGTTCAAAGAATTTTAATAAATAAAAATGCAAGTGATAGTTTTTCTGAACATAGCTAGCAGTAGAAATGTAATATTTTGCCCTGTGACATTAGAATTATAGATTGCTTTGTATTTCAATGATTAAAAATCCATGATGTTTAAAAAATGGTGCACGAAAAAGAAAATGGATCCACTTTAAATACCTAATCTGAGCTGAAGGCAAAGAATAGCTGCAGATATTAATGCATCCACTTATCAAAGTGATTACATTTTTCATATAAATTGTACAAATATGCCAAGAACAAAACCTTTCCCACACAGGTTTTTTCTCTAATTCTATTATATTAAATCTGCCAACAGTTAAAAAGCTTACAGAAAACAGTATATGCTATTTGCAAAATTTCACTGAACCCCACTGATCCATTTTCAACAGCTAAGCGACCAGCCAGTAGAAAACACCTAGTTCCATGCTGTCATGAAAACAAAGTAAATAACTTTAGTCAAGATGCACTTATGCTGAATTTACATATTTATAACTTCAGATGACACTAAAATAAGTATACATGCATCTCATCTGATATATTAAAAAAATGGTGTAAGACTCAAAGTAGATTTACAAAGTTATAGTTCTATGGATTTTTTAATACCTTGAAATCCATCCTGACAAACACAACTGAAGGCATTCAGATGATCAACACAAGTAGCTCCATTGTGACAAGGGTCACTAAGACACTCATCCACCTCAATCTCACAGTTGTTACCTGGAAACAAGTGAAGGATTCACTTCATTAGGAACATGCCACTGGTGAGTCACCAGTGCAAGCAGCAACAACAAAATGAAATAACTAAGGTCAGGTACAGGGAACTTTTACCAATGAGCCATATTTTGTCTTTGGGGAATTCATTTCTTGTTGATTAAAGCCAAAAGTGAAATGCATATCTAATATATAATGTTCAACAAATATCTGGTGGGAATTTTATAGATTCGTTTATAGATGTACTCAAAAATTTGCATCTTTTCATATTTTAAGGGCAGTAAAGTCTTGAGTTTTCCTGAAACATCACAAAAGTGTAAGCATGGTTTCTAAGACCAAATATTAAAATATCACAGTCTTTTTCTATGATATTCTTTTTCATTAATTTATTAATTTCTGGATTTGCTATGAAGTTCTCTATAGGAAATATTGGGAAAGGTTTCCCTTTCCCATTTGGCCATATTATGGCCAAATATTTTAATAAATGTTTTTGGAAACTAATAATCAAAAAGTTAAATATGCGGAGGAAAAAATTATAGATGCTGATTTCTAGTTGAGAATGATGTACCTGATATTTTTTCTGGCCTTCGACGTAGAACAAAGTTCAGAAAGTATTTATTTGCATTTTGTATATTAATTGTCCAAACAGATGATAATGGCCTCAAATTTATTATTACTTATGCCTAAAAGGTAGGTAAAAAGTTCCTGATTGTGTCAGAGGGGTTTTGAGGGCTTTATTTGGCCACAGAAAAAGTATAAACTAAAAATACTAATCTACCATTATGTAGATATAAGAATTTAAATAAACATTTCAATAAAATAAGACCTCAGAAAGAATTACCACAAGTAACATCAAACAATTTTACTTTGTATTTTGATAATAAAATAAACCAACCATAAAAACAAAATATTGCATTTCATTATATTAGACACAAATACTACAGCTATTAAATTACAGATTATTTCATTTAAATATTAAATTATTATTAAAATTACAGATAATTCCATCTACATTAGGACATAGAGCAACAATTTAAGAGGTATGGAGTCTACTCAAGATCTGAATTCCTCTGGCTGCCTGTGTCCTCCTTGACTATTGAGAGACTGTGGAGTCATCCTATTCCTGCTTTAGGAGCCCCGTCAAAGTCCCTGCGGTTAGACAGGACGGATCTGGGCTGCAGAGCTGACCTACCGCTCAGGGAATTCCTACTGCGCTTGATTATTTAATCATACAGGTGATCAAAAATATCTGAATCTGTATCTAGAAAAGTTCTTTTTTTTTTTTTTTTTTTTTTTACACTGTAACCTGGAATTACCATGACAGTATGCTGACATAACCAAACTAATTTTAATCTAGTCAGACTCTGTACTAATGACAGTGAACTGCAGGGTAGGTTGAAGCATGAGTAATTAAACCTGCCCAAGATCTTGGATGTATATTTGGCATTTGAGGCCCTTGTTACTGCAGCCTTATTGTTACAGGAAGCACAAAGCAGATAAATTAAGGCCAACTTGCATATGGCTGGGAGTTACAATCACATCAGTGTAAGACAGACACCCTGTCTAAAACAGTACAAAGTAAGAGTTATTGGAGTAGAAATAGTCCCTTGTAGTCAGTGTTTTTTACAGCTGAATACTCTTACACAGCCAAGTACTTTTGTGTGCCAGGAAACAAAAGTTGCTTCTGCCTTAATCAGAGGCACACTGCTAAATTATATCTATTGCTACTTTTGAATAACCTTCTTTTCTGTGGTTTAGGACTGACTTAAATATGTTGAAAAACACTCCTTTGAACGCACCTATAAAACCAGGTGCACAGAAACAAAGATAGCCACCCAATATGTCTTTACAGATGCTGGAGGCTCCACACGGTTGTGACAGGCAGGCAGCAACTTCTGCTTCACAAAACTGACCAGTAAAACCTGGTGAAAAATAGAGTAACAGAAGTCATAAAAACTTTATTATCACATTTAGTCTGAGAAAACAGACAAGTGAGAGACCAATGTTGCTAAGTACTTTTGTGTTCTTTACTTATATTTCAAAATTTTATTTAGGATAGAGTAAAATATTCCAGTTTCTTTGAAAATTTCAGTTTCATATACAAAGCAATTCTAAATGGAATAAAAGAACTGTATGATAAAGCCATGCTTGCAATAATAATAAAACCCATTCAAGATACAACGGGTCTTCAAGAGAATTTGATAGAATGTCAATTTCTTCAAGTGGTTTTATGCAGATATTCCTATTTTTATTGAAATATCAGTAAGAACACTGTTGATAAAAGCCTTCTCAGTTTTAGTGTGGTGTTCTGTACACCACATTAAGAAAACATCCTATGTTTCCAAGCCAAAAAAGAAAATTGTCCCAATACATTCTGTTATAAAGCAGATATTACAAGATCTGGCAGGTTTGGCAGCTTGCAGATATTAAAGATCTGGCAGGTTTGGCAGCTTATTGGTATTGATTTTTTGAACCATTTAGCTTATAGTTAATAAGAAACCTAGTCTTGTGAAACATTGAGCATCCTTGTTTTCTGTTGAGGGCTACATATGCACAAAATTTAAAAAAGAAATTCAAAGATAAAATATGAATCTACATTTTACACTTAGGGTATATTGGCCATGGTGTTATAGTTTCTGAAGCCATCATCCAGCAAGAAAATCACATGGTTGATGACAACACCTTTATTTTAGAACATACACAATAAATAGTTGCAAGTAAATATTCTTTGTTTCACTGAAAAATAGTTGTTTTCAAACCCAATAAATATTTTTTAATTAGTTGATATAAAGAAATTAAAAAATCAATTATTGTGTGTGGAGCTAGGACCCAAGTGCTGAATATAAATGCCAGGTTTCAAACTTCAGACATTTTTGTTGTAACTTTTGTCATAAAAAATCAGTGAAATTATAAAAAGTATAGTTTTCTGTTCTCCTATTAACTGAGCACTTAAAAAGTTTCTAAAGATTTTTAGATTCTTGCAAAAATAATGTTCCAGCAAAGATCAAAAGAGACTGGACCAATTTATTATAATTTAACAATTACAGCATGAAAAGCCACTAAAGACTTAAACCAGAGATTTGGCTCAGTGAGCTAAATACAATTAATTCCAATGTCTTACAAACTTGGATACCAAGTCTGGCTGAAGATCTGAACTTCACATTTCATTTTAAAACATTTATAAAGGAATGCTGTGCTTCAGTAGCATAGGTATTGCCAGAACAGATTCTAGTGTGCCATTGAGTTGCCCCATATCTGACCTTGTGTTCATCGATATTTTACACAACAAGAAGAAAAAGGAAGAATCTTTAGTCAAAGATGTTCAAACAAATCTGTATTCCTACAGTGTACTGATAGCTTTAAAAACTAAACATAACCCTGTTTTTATAGCATTTATTAAGTGCAGATCCAGAGTAATAAATAATTACAAAATTTTAAAAGTTCAGTCCTGCTTGCGCCTGGTTTAGCATAGTCTTCAAGTTAAAGGAAATGTAAACCATGTCCTTAGGGCACGACTGAAGAGCTCCTGATTTGGAAGATTTTTTAGGTTTTGAACAGCTGGTTAGATGAGGTAAGACAGCAACTTTTGACCATCAGGGTAAATTGCTAAAACGTACTGCGCTTTAGAAATCCTGGCTTGTATAACAACCCTTTGAGGCATAAATACAAGACAATGCATATTAAAACTGCCCTACACATGCAGTCACTTTGGTTTCTAAGTCAGTAGATGCAGAAAGGGGTCTTCAAGCTATGTTTCTATTCCATCCCAAACACCAGCTGTTCAACATTCTCACACAGATGAAGTTTTCCTCTCTGTTGATTGCTATTAAAAATTTAAGCATGTCTCTCATTTTTGCCTTCGTAAATAGCTGTTAACATCTGCTTACTGAAGTACTACATAAAACATATAAAAAATTATGATAAAAAAGTAAAATGGAAATATTAATCAATGATGGTAACAGTTATACACAGATATACGTATAACTGTTATATGTGGTTATGTGACTGTCATCCAAGTGGAGATACTGAATATACAAAAGCCAAGATGACCTTTTTTGTTTGACAAACTAAAAATGAATATTCATAATAACTTTATAGATTGGAAATAAAGATCTTAACCTATGTATGCTTTTATTTCTGTGTTTTGAATTAATTATGAAAGTATTGCAGCATGGACAAATATATCTGAAGTTACTATACTAAGTTGAAGAACAAAGGGTGGTGGTTTCAGGGCCCAATTTTAATGGTAAACATCTGTTTTTATATAAAGTTTCTCATCAAAACAGATTCAGCAGCAGTACTTAAGAATATACTATTTCCTATAAAAAGAAATGAGCAAGTGTTGGTTTATTTTTCTGCTACAGACACTCAAAAGATACTTCATGAATTTAGACAATGGAAATTTAGCAGCAGAGTATTTAAAATATTTTTTTTTTCAGAAATGCCACATTTACATTCTTCAGACATTTCTTTCTGACAAACCCAAATGCCTCATGACAAAAGTGATTTTTACTAGTCAGACTGTGACACTTAAACTCTCCAGGGGGATCATTGCATTGTGATCCATTCTGACATAGTCCAGCCACACAGTGATTTATGGCAATTTCACTACATGGCTCCTTATATTCTGGCTGGCAGGTACATCTGAAGCTATTAACTGGAACCTCACATTAAGGGTCATTTGTCAGGGCCAGCAGGATTTGATGTGCTTATTGAACAAATATTACTTCTGGGGAAAAAGTTGTATGGTTCCTGTTAAAATTACAGCTGGGAAAAACTTAAACAGACTGAAAGAAACAAATGTCAGGATTTAATAAATTCATTTAAAACCCAGTCAATATTTTCACTGTCATTAAGATTCTAACATACTGATGGGTTGCTAATTTCTCCTTATTTGCGCTGGATGTGATAATAACAACATACAAGCCATTTTATTAATTTGGTTTTTGAGATAGGGTGATTGTTAATGTTTTTGTCATTCAACACCTATCATAATGAAATCCTACTTTTGCTTGGGTCCTCTAGAATTTCAAACATAAAAATTATACTTATTGCAAAAACTATACAAAATGTAAAAATTGTAAAAAATATGCAACTAATAATAGCATAGTTGAACAAAACAGAGAAAGGGTAATAAAGAGGAAAAATCATCACCTTTGGATGAAAGACAGGGAAAAAAATGCTGCTGTTGCCTCAGACAATACAACAGAAAAGTGTTTTATTGTGACCATCTGCTCTAATAAATACATGTGATTGTTGTATTGAAGTAACCAGTCACAACTATAAAAGACACAGTGGAAGATGCAATTTTCTCTGTTGTATCCTTCTTGCGTATAGGGTTTCTGGAACTCAGAGATCAAAACCCACTAATTCCCAGTAAAGACAATTTGAACTTCAGCAATTAGATTAGAATAACGGAATTACTCTCTAAAAGTTTTAAAACCTTCATATTCTAAAATTAGAGACTGAGAAATGATGCACATGCAATTTTAAGAAAGCTTGTGTGTTCTCTGAAGACTGCTCATTTTCACAAGCAGACTTCCTGATCTAACAACGGCCGCAATCTGAAAAATGGTGTTCTGTTCCTGTGAGAAATTCAGTTGTCGTTTTATTTCTGTCTACCTCAGGGACAAGTCAGAACTTGTGTTTATGTACACATAATCTGAAAGAAAGTTAAAACATGTTGTAAGAATGTGCTATTATGAGTATTTAGGGTGTTTGTACTTCAGTTTCTTACCTACATATTCCATTCCTGAAATAAATAGATAAATAAATAGATAAATATTCTAAGGCAAAATAATTTCAACAGATTTACAGTTTTCTGTCATTCAGGTTTGAAGTGGAGTGTTTCAACAGTTTTAAATCTTTTGCAAAGTTTTCTCAACTAAGTAGTAAGTGAAAAAAATAAATCTCTGAGGCCAAAAGTCAGTTTTTTCCCATCATGTCAGCATTTTCTGGTGAATTAACATTTCATTGGATATTCCTCAAAAAACTCTACTGACAGCTGAAAAGTCATTATTACAACTTGCTTTGAATTTTATATTATGGTTTTCTGACAGGAAGACTGAAAAAATATTTTTTCAGCAAAAACTTGTATACGTCATTTAAGCTCAATTTAGTCTGGAGAGGAATCTTAAATAGCAGTCAGTCCACCTTCTGCTTACCACTCACTCACTTTGGTATCAACAAACGTGTACATTTTAAAATATTCTTGACACCACAGAAGTTCTGCCTCAGTCATATTAGGTTATTTACTGTGAACACTAATGTGACAATGATGGCAAGCTGATGTACCTGTCACAGGCAACAAAAGGAGATTTCATCTAGGCTACAGATAATATCTTTCCTCCAAGATTTGCTCTAAGACCAGGACCAAATGAATCTTGGTCGGCCTAGACCAATTCTGATTCAGATAGTTCCCAGCGGACAGACCTCACGGGTAGACCTTGCAGAGCTAGAAGCATACCATATATGAGCCTGAATCCACATGCCTTTCTCGCCCTCTTCTAGACTTTTACTAAGCAATTACTGTTGTCCAACAGCGTCTAGGTGTCTAGTCACCTCCATGCTAGAGCAGAAATTCTTGGCACAGGCACAGTAATTTCCCTTCACTGATATATTTGCAGGTGCTGCTCAACCCTGGAGATTCGTTTTTACCTACTACACAGAATTAAAGGACATTGTTATTTCTGTTTCATGAATGCAGTCCATTGTGGAATCAGACTGAAATTACAGGTTAGTATGAACTCTGTGTACATGAATGTAAGTTATATGGCATATTTACAAATTAACAAATTGTCAGATTAAACGGAGTTCTCTAACAGTAACAAGCTGTTCTCTAACAGTTTGGTAACTACTTATTGAACACCAGTAATTTTCTGATAATAATCTTCATTCACCAATGAACTCTAGCATTATGGAT